CTCGCCGCCCGCAGGACAGCCCACTCCCCAGGCGCGGCAGGGCGCCCCCACCCGAGGCTGACGCGCATCCAAGTGTCCGGCCGCGCCGGCAAGGTCACAGCGGAGCAAGGTGCGGCGGGGCTTCCCCGAGCCGGCGCCCCGCGTTCGCTCGCTCGCTCGGGACGCTGCAGCTCGCGACGCTGCCCGGCTACACCTACCCCGCACGGCCGAGTTACCGCTCAGCCCCATGACTGCGCTGCCTGTCTGTCTCGAGGACACAGAAACTGCTCAGCAACAGGCACGCACGCGCGGGGCCCAAAGACGCTCTGGGGGGCGGGGCCGCGCCGCTCTTAAAGGGGCCGCGCGGCGCTGCAGGCTGCGCCGCCACGCCCCTAGCGCGACCAGGATGACGAAGCTCCTGGCAGCCGCCTCTTCAGGTCCCTGGTGTTCCTCTCCTCGTGGAGGCGTTTGGCCCTCGGGAGCTTCCGTCGCGGGCCCAGCGGAGGTGAGGCCGGCAGCAGTGACGGAGTTTGACGTCATCCTTCGCGGCCTGTGTTCCGCTTAACGTCACGCTGAGGGGCCGCTTCTTGCGCTCGTTACGCCCGGCCCAGCCCGGCGCGGTGGAGCAAGTCCCCGCAGGCACCGAGGGCGGCCGGGAGCAACCGCTCCCCTGCGCTTGTGCCTAAGGCAGGCGGCCTGCAGCGCCAAGCCCGGATTTAGGCGAATGGCCGCTAGCACTGGGACAGCCTTGCAACTCTCCAGAATTGGCCTGGAGACTCCAGGAATTAAATATAACTCCAGGAGACTGCTGAGAGTCACCCAGAAGATGAAGATAGAGCAGTCATTAAAGTAAATGTTGAATCCGATTTATACAGTAGACTATTACATTTTAAAATCCCACTGGACATGTTGCTTTCCTGACGTAAAATCTAGACACTGTAATCCATAACTGATACACGCAAGCATGCAGGCCTGTTCATGCTGTGTGGCAGGCACGTTGGTGTTTCAGAAACCCAGAAGAGATTCAGACAGTTGGTAACCCTAGCCCTGGGGCAGGGATGGAGCTGGACAAGCTTGTGATGCCAGGCATCCTTCTGCAGGCCAGCTCTGCTCAGTAGCATTGCAGTGTTGCGGCCCCTTTGCCAGCGTGGCGGATCCCAAAGGTCCCAGTTTGTTCACGTTTGGGAGAAACCACAGGCTCGCACATGCTGCCCCTAAGGAAGTCTGGTTGGCAGAGTCTTGCCTGAGCGTTCCCCTGGCATGAAGCAAAGCACTGCATCCTTTACTGGACATGTCCAAGGGTTTTGATTTTTGACCTAAAACATAAGAAATGCCATTTACTGGGGCAGATCATAGGTCCGTGTCGCCCAGTCTCCTGTCACATAAGTCCAGTGCCACAAAGGGGACCAGGGTACTCTGCTCAGTGTCCCCCCTTCGTGCACGTGTAATTATAGTGCACAGGAGCAGCCTTACTGCACATGTATAGGCACCCTTAGGTCAAGCTCCCTCTACACAGGTATTAACAGGTTAATTATGCAATTACCTTAAGACCCTCTACATGTGCAAAGTAGCTAGCGCAGGAAAAAGCTCCAACCAGGGTTGCCAACTGTCTGAATCTATTCTGGGAGGTAACTGGAACACCAGTGTGCCCACCACACAGCACAAATGGGCCTGCATGCTTGTGTATATCAGTTATAGATTACAGCGTGTAAATTTTACATCAGGAAGGCGACATGACTATTACATTTTAAAACCCCACTAGAGTACTTGCAAATGGGTATTAGCATCATGGTTGCTACTGAGCTTCAATCTGCATGTGTAGCAGGGTCCCCCCAGCAGCTGGGAGCCCCATCAGCTGACAGGGCTCCCAGCCACAGGGTGCATCATGTCTACCACAAAACCACCAGGGCCAGGGAATCATGACAGCCCAGTCCCCAAGGCTCAAGGATGCATGAAACCCTCAGGCCCACATGTGTCAGCTGCAGGACTCAGTCCTGGCTGCGTGTATGGTGCAGCTGGGACTGAGAACCCTGTTAGGAGTGGGATTCTTGGTCCCAACTGCATGTGGCCCCCTTGGCTGGGAGCCCCCTCAGGAAAGGAGGCTCCCAGCCATGGCAGCCTGCTTTTAGCTGATGCCGGGTGAGCCCAGGATCACGCATTAGATCCAATCGCCCTTCCCTGCATGTGCAGAAGGGGCCTTACGGTCCAGTAAACTTTCCCAGTCCATCTCTCTAACCTTTCTATTCATGAGTATTTTGTCACTAGGCTTTTAAAAATCTCTTTTAGTTAGCTTGAATGATCCCCTCTACCAGTCTAGAGCACCGCATGTCTTTTCCATTCAGAGGCCTCCAAACTTTGTCTTAAAGTGCCCGGCTTGAAAAAACTCAGGCTTCTTTATGGAGTTATGCAGACACGCCCTCCCCAACTCTGTGCTACTGACAGGCAGTTTGACTTCTATTTTAAGTTACTAAACATTTAGAACAAATTAAAAGAGATGGCAAAACCAAAAACTATACCACAAGGGGCTCAGTCGTTACCTTGTTAATTTTTCTCTTCCTACCACCGGACTACCAAGCTCAGAGATAAGAAAGGATGGCACACTAAAAACAATAAATGTTGAAGCCTGTCCCATTTTTAAGAGGAGGTTAGATGAACACCGAGCTAGGGTCGTTTGACCCCAGTACTCTTTCCTGCCATGGCAGAGGGTCGGACTAGATGATCTACTCAGGTCCCTTCGGACCCTAGAAACTATGAAACTATGAAACTAATTGTTAGGCAGAACTGCTGCAAGGAATTAATTTCGTACATTTCCAGGAAAATAATGGCATGTCTTTCACTTCTTTTGCAGTCACTTTGAGCTCTGCTGCATCCTGTCCAAGAACTTGAGCACATGAACCCTATTGCAGAAGGAGGAAAGACAAGAGGGCTGGGGATGACAGCACTGTGAAGATACAAAAGAGAGGAGCCTAATTCAAGCAGCTATTGTAACCATGGGAGGAACAAGAGCAGAGAGACTTAGAAAAGACAAGGAAATTAAAACTGTAGAAAGAGAGCAGAACCAGGCACTTACGAATCACCTCTTCAGAATTGTAGTAAACAGTTCCAAGTTCCCATACACATCTACAGCTTTTTATAGACTTCGTAGCTTGCTACAACAGTGGCTGCTGTGTGGTGTCCTATGCAGGGCCAGGCACTGTTCATTGGCCTAGCAGTATCTCACCTAGATACAAGTGCACATGACTCTTGGAACACAAGTCCCTCTGCAAGTGCTTAAAGAGCTACCAAAAACAGTGCAAGTCCCAGCTCCAACACCCTCTCAGCTGTGCTCCACCAACATACCGATGCTTCAGGCTCTGGAACTGACCAGTGGCACCAGGGAACATAGTCAGTTACAGCAACTTCAGGGGAGAAAATAATCCCTGCTTGTTCAACCCTTGTGCAGTATCATATCAAAGGTACAACAGACTGGAGAGGGATGGCAGGAAATATTGCTACATTTTGGTTTTCCAGACTATCTTATAGTTTGTCAAAAACAAAACAAAGACACTTTTCTTGCTGATGGTCACTAGGGCTGAGTGCAATGTTCTTAAAATTTTTCTTGTATATACTTCTGAGTTTGTTAAAGGTCTCTATTTAAGTGCTTGTTGCTACTAAATTGAATGGAAACAGGAAGTCATGGCAAAAATTGTTATTGAGGTATAAAAACAGCAGGCAATCCATACAAGCCAGTAAAATGTCTCCCTGTGTCCCATACAAAATCGAATGAGCAAACAGAGAAAGTTACATTTAAACTGATATTTTATTGGGCAGATAAGTTAGCCCAGGCCTCATGCAATCCAAAAAATTAATCAGGTACAAGAGACCCTATGCAGATGTCCCTTCACCTCAGGTAAAAAATAGACACAGCGTGCACTTTCTTCTTCTCATTTCCCCCTCTACATTTCATTAATGTGGCAGAGCTACACAACTGCTTTATCGTTCATGCTTGCCAGGTCCTCATCCTGCATGCACAGGTGTGCTGCACATGAAAGGAAGTAGTCAGCAGTCTGTGGTGCATTGCCACACTCACATATTGGACTGTCCTTTAAGCCAATCTTATAAAATGTGGCATTAAAGTGTCCAGCTCCAGGCCAAATCCTGTTTGGTTTAATCCATAAGTTGCAGGGGAGCTTGAACCCGGGTTGATAGGGTGTTGGGCTGCTCATGAAATACGCGTGGCCCAGAGGCTTGAGGGGCATGGCGACCACCCACAGGCACAGGCGATGGTGGTGGTGGGAGTGCAGCAGCAGCGAGCAGAGAGCTCCTGCAGGTGGCCACAGCTGCAGCAATGGCTGAGGGGGGCAAACGCCAACCAGTGGTCAGCGACCACCAGCAGACATCCCTGTCAGCAGTGGCCAGCAGCAATCAACAACCGCCTGCAGATGCCTCCGGCAGAGTTGGCAACAAGAATGGGGAAGGATGGCGAGCAGCAACCACCTGCAGGCACTGCTGTATTATGTATTGTGTTAATGCTGCTGAAATTGTTTTATCGTGATTGGTAAATAGTGTTATTTAGGGTTTGACCGTGGTTATTGGTTAATGTTCACTGTGTAAATATATGTATATGATATTTAGTTTTATGTTTGTGTATCTTATAACTCAATAACTTGTACATAGTTAAGAACTTTGGGCTTGGGCAAACTCTGTAGAGGAAAGAGGGATCTGCTCTAAATTCTGGCTTCCCTCTTACAGCATCCCCTCCTGCCTACCCATCCCATCTGATTTAAGAATAGGGCACACCCTTGGGTGTACCTGGGTTACACAATTCATAGAATCATAGAAAAGTAGGGCTGGAAGTAGGGCTTCCCAGGTCATTTAATCCTACCCCCTGCCTGAGGCAGAATCATCCCTATCCAAAATATCCCATACAAATCCATTGTCTAACCCAATGGTCTCCAGCCTTTTTAAGTAGGAGATCACCTTTGGCGTTTAAAAGCAACACAAAATCTACCATGCACTGCCACCACACCCCACCCCTCCACCTTGCCCAGCAGGTAAGTCTGTGGGGAGGGGAAGGGTGGGGGGAAGATTGAGAAAAATTTATTTGAGGATGTGCCTCCCCAGCAGGTAAGTCCCACCCAGCCAGGGCCCCACTCAACTTACACCTGCTCCTACCTCTGCGGCACTGTCCTTCATTGCAGGGGCCTCAATCTTGCCCCACCCCTTCCCTCCCCCATGGACTGACCTGCTGGACTGGGACACGTGCATGCATGCACATGGGCACTCAGCCCCCCACCCCAGCCTTGGATTAACTCTAAGAGGCTCCAAGATCTACTGCAAGAGTCTCCTAGATCTACTGGTGACCACTGATCTAACCTATCAGCAAAATTACACAGTCAACCCTAATACAACCAGAAGACATAACACCTTAACCTGCCACATGTAAAAGAGGGAAACAATGGCAGTCCTGCTGTTGTAAGGGTTAAAATACTCTTGAAGATCCAAGGAAGGGGGCCACACCCCTACACTACAGAAGAAGGCCAGAACCCACTCAGGCCATACCAATTTGACCATGGGGTAAAATGTCTTCCTCACCCCAAATATAGTGATCAGTCTGATCCTGAGCAGAAGACCCTCTAGCCAGGAACCTCTGGGTTTCAGTCCCAGCAGGAGCACTGATACACCCCAATCCCTCGCCTTTGCTGCAGCCATCGCCCAGGGGTTTTTAGGAAGGTGAAAAATAAAAATAAAAACCTAATGTAGGTTTTTACTTTCCTAGGCAATCTATTCCACTGCCTCATCGTTCCAACAGTAAATAAGTTTTTTTCCAGATATCCAGTCTAAATCAACTTTACTGCAAGCCATTGGTCTACATCCTGCTCTCTGCAATGGAAAATAAAAGGTGTTTTCTCTCTTATGGCATCCCTTCAAATACTTGAACACTGATATCACATCCCCTCTTAAGCAACCTTTCCACAAGCTGAATATTGCTACACGTGACATAGATACAAAGACAATCCCTAATACTCCCTTGCCTCCCTGGATCCTAAGCCCATGTTGCTTACAAGGATGCTTTTAGTTGTGTAAATTAACTCAGAAGTCCATTAGTGTCCAGAGACTATTCCAGATGAAAATATACGGCTCTAGTATTGTGCATCTTGTGTAGGGTGCAGCAGACCACAAACATACATACAGTGTTCTTATCCTCACCAACTTTAGAGGCAATGCCATTTGGCTTCCCCTTTCTGAATGTACATTCCAACAGCATTCTGCAGCTGCCAAAAAAATATAACTGCATTTTCTCTACAACTCCTTGCCTGGGTATAGATGAGCTTCATGAGCTACAGCAGGAGAGAATAGGCACAGTCCCTCAAAGTCATGGTGAGCATTTGTGCCCCAAGGTCATGTATTTAGAAGAAGCAAGGTCCTAATTTATATATGTCTCAAAACCTAGCTGCTCTGCATCTTGCCGGTGTTTCCCACACTAGTATGGATCATGAAATTCTGCAGGACCAACAGCAAATTTTTTAAGATATTGAAGGAGCAATGATACGCGTGTGTGTGACACTAATGGCCTCAGTACAATTTGTGTATTCTAGTCTCTGAAAGCCAGATGCTATTTCAGGGCCTTTCCTGATGCCAACAGTCTGTTGGGCTAGTAACGTTGCCTCAGGTCCACTGTGCTCTGAGGCAGTATTATTGGAGGAGCTGAGTCAGAAACATAGGGACAGTTCTTGAGGGCTTGTATACAATGTCTGTAGAAAGACTGCTTGGTAACAATGTCTCTGGGAGTTCTGTTTAATGCTGTAGAACTAAATGAATGATATTTAAACAAGTCTGGAAATTTTAAGGCTAAAAACTATTAAGATGGAGTGAAGATTAAGGATATATATTAGTAATTTAAGGATGAAAACCTCTAGAGATGTTGGTAATTATAAGAAAACCAAGCACTACAAAACCAAATCAGTCAGAAATAAGCTAACACATAAAAGGAAATCCAGCTAAATTATGGTAAGAAATGCACAGTTAAGATACTCAAATAATCTTACCTCTGCACTACAGTGATGACATAAGAGGGGAAAAAATGATAAATGTCTAATGTCTTCAGCCTTTTTGGGTAGGGCAAGATAATCATCATCTCAATTATCAGGGTAATCTAATTTACGTCCACAAACACTGAAATGTCTTAATCATATTGTGTCTGCGTCGCCACAAGACAGTTTACTCAAGACTAGAGCAAACTACTGTGCAGTAAGCATCGCTGTCTACACATACAGATGCTTCCTGCATAGTAATTTGTTCTAATTGCAAGCAAATTTGCCACTTGTAAATACAAATAGCAAATTTACTCAGGAGTAATTACTGTGCAGTACATCATGTGTAAATGGCTGACTGGGAGCAAATGTGTAGATGACTGACCAGGAGGCACCTGTCTCCTAGTAGGGGCTGATTGTTCCCTGCCCCCAGGAGCTGCCTGCTGCCAGGGCAGGCTCCACTACTGGAGCCCAGGCAGGGACAATGTCCCCATGCCTCGGCAGCAGGGAGCTCCCAGTCCCCACTTTGCAATCGTGGAGCACAGAACGGGGAGGGGGCTGGGAGATAAAAATCATCTCCCAGCCCCCACTCCATGATTACCTGTCTGGGGTGGGTTTACTCTAATAGTAAATTATTCTAGAGGAGGGGCTCTCAATCCCTGGGCCGCAGCCGGCTGCCAGGCCACAGTAGGTCAGCTGCCGGTCCACAGCATGGTTGGCTGCTGGACCAGAAGTGACTGCGGACCAGCAAACTGTAGACCGTGGTTTGCCAGGCTGCAGCATAAAAACTTTGCGAACCCCTGCTTTAGAGTAAACCCACCTTGGAGCATTTGCCCATATAGATGCACCCATTGTATAACTAAAGGGCTGTTCAGATTGTTTGGATTTATTTTCAATGTAACTTTAACTCCAAATTTCCTAGTCTTGTGATGTTTGGTTTTGGAATAATTACAAGCTTCCCTGTAATGTTTCTGACTCTTAATTTACCAATACCTATGATACAGTTACTAATCTTTACTCTATTTCAACATCATTTTTGTCGAGGAATTCTATTAACTTTTTGCTCTGTGTGGTTTACCGAATAAGGCAATACTTGTTTGCTTTATTCCTTGTTGTTTTTATCTCAGATTGATCAGGTGTAGTGCCGCAGAGCCAAAGATCTACCTTCTGTTGATTCAAGTGCAGTCTCTTCAGAGTCTAAGAAGAGGTTCTTACTAAACCTACTAACTAAAGGACATTTTCTGGCAATGATAAACAAGCAC